AATTCTCTTAGATTGTGCTGGCAGGGCTTTCCGTGCAATTGCAACTAAAAAGCTGCAGATAGGCTGTAGAGGATCGCTCTGCTCCTTAGTTGGTGAAGTACCACAGAGAATTGCAGGAAAGAATTAATTATTTTGCCCTCATATCAGAGCTGAAACAGCATACAGCCAGTGCAACTTGCTCTTATACTGCATAAAGGGAAAACAAAACATCAAATAGCTTGTTAGTTTAAAGACTGCTTTCTCTTTGAGGGGAGGGAGCGGTGAGAAGGGATGTATATGTAAATGAGGCAGAGAAACTACAGAGAAAAAAGATGCAAGCATATAATTAAAATCTGTATCACAATGCCTACATACAACGTACCCACTGAGATTACAGGTCCAATATTGATTCTAGCATCAAACTTTTCAATGTTACATTTTACAATTTAATCGCTTTCTTTTAAAATATGCTTTTCATGTGCAATCTCTATTGTAGCACAATAGGCCCAAAACGATTTTTCAAACAAAGATGGACTTTTATCGAACAGAAAGTGAAAACTTTTGAACTCTGATCCCAGGTCTTTGATGTGTTCCAAGCAGTTAAATGTCTGAAGCCACACAGTTTCATTTCAGCTTGCACAAAACCAGAAGTTCTTCTGTGTGTTATGGTGTACACCTTCATAATGAGCTTCCACCTTTGTAAGAGCTCCATGGTCAAGTGTTAAAGACAGATTCACATTCAGGTCTGACCTGAGTAGATTTTGCAATTTTAAGGTGACACTCCTGAAAGTATTTATTTCTGTATTCAAACATAGTATTAAAAAAAAGGGAAATGATCCTCTGATATGGGGAAGGTATTTATTACCCGAGCATTTTTACCTGTGTTTTATTTCTCCAATAAAATTGGGACTTTTGACTGGGTAAGAAAGAGGTTTCTTGAAAAAAAAGGAAAAACTGCATCTTTATTAAATCAAAACAGATTTGGACACTTGTCATTCTCCCAAAATGCAGATGATTATGAGGCCTAAGACAAGAAGCATAAGCTTAGCAATTTGGGGTTTTTTTCTTAAGGCTCTGGCTGTCTCATATGTCAGACAGGCATGTGTATTATGCACATCCAGCAGGGGACAAAGATCAGAAATTTAAAGGAGCTGTTTGTGATTTTGGATGGGATGTGGCACACAGATGAAAGAGCAAATATTTTTCCCCTTGGTTTAATGCTAGCACTAGATTCCTAAATTAAGCCCAGCAGGAAATAAACATCCACCACAGATTTCAAAAGATATCTCACATCTTTGTATTAAAACGTGTTATTTTAAGAGTCCCAAATGCTGCATGTCTGATTTTTATTAAGTCCAGAGCCAACATAGGAAGTGTTATTTGACTTTACTTTAAAAGAAAGCAGAAAATATCAGTGGACAATGGGATGTAAATTGCAGGAAGCCAAAACAAAATTGAAGAGTATGAGATAATGGGCCTGATGCTATTATCTAGAGGAATACTAAGACCACAGGTTTCAAAAAATTACTTTGATAACCTTGAGAGCTCACTCAGACTACAGAATATCAAGTCAGCAGATTTTCCAGGGGGAGTGGAAGGACAATAGTCTCAATTTTTCTCTTCCAAACAGACTGGGGATATGTTTCTGACATGCATTTCTGATTTCCTTATAAACTAAATAGCTACAATGTTGTAGTCCAAAGGAGAACATAATTAAACATCACTCCACATCTTCCTCACACATTTCATGTGTGTAGTTTTTGGTGAAAAAAAATAATTCTATGTCCCTATACCAATGCAGTTCCAACTCTGAAAATTCCCTGTACAAAGTCTAAAACTACCAGCATAAGATTTTGCTCTGCTCAATCACAATACACTAAGCTTTTATTTTGGAGTTTGCAGATACTATTTTTTTTTCCTCTTCTTTCCCACTGACTTTGATGATGTTTTGGGATTAAAACAAGGAGTAGACAGCTCCCATGAGATGAAAGACATAGCTGCAAAGAACACTTACTTAGAAGATTAAAAAAACCCAAAAACAACCTCTTGGAGTTTGAGATGCTGTTATGTATTTATTTAAAGAAACAGTCCCTTGAAGGGGCTTAGGGTTCAATATTTTAAATAAGTTTGTGCTTTATCAAACCTAGTTGGAAATAAAATGCCTTTTTTAATTGCCAAGCTGATCAAAATTATAACAGTACATTCCCAAGTAAGCTAAATATATTTTTACAAGCAGAAAGAATAGCTCCAAGTTCTTTTGCAAACAGTGCCAGTGATAGAACTTAAGCTTTTCTGTTTCATGGCAAATGACAACTCCTAGCAGCCCTTACTCCAGTGACACCATTTCAACAAGGTTCCACACATCCCTCCTCCATCAGCTAGCTCCCAGCCAGGCAGAGAGGGAGCCCTGCTATGGCAAAGCCTGAGCCATGGTTCAAATGATTCAGCCAGCCTCTCAGGCAAGATGGAGTACAGACCTGGTAAGCTCACACATCTCCCAGAAAGGACTAATGTATCTTCCTCTTCTAGCCAGTCCTATATTTTATAACATTTTTATTGTTTTCGCCTTCCAACTCTGCCCGAACCACTGATGGCCAAGACAATCAAAGTTATTGGATGAAGGGATGAGGCAGAAGAGGGGCAGAGGGAGAAGAAAAAGAAAAAAAGAAAAAGAAGAGACAAAAAAAAAAAGAAAATTAAAGAACAAGTCTTGTTTTCTTTGGGAAATAGGCCAACAACTTTGACAGCAGACAGAACTGTGTGCGCATGAATGAGCTTTCTCACACTGCTGGGTCAGCTGACCCAGAGGAGAAAGACCTTTGGTTTCTGCTCCTGACACCACTTCTGCATGAAGTGTAAGCCAAGCTGATTTATGCTTCCGTTTGTGCAGGCTTAGAATAAGCCCATAGTAACTTACATACATCTTCCACATTGTGAACAAGAGTAATTTATTAGGAATAACAGGCTTTGAGATTCCTGGGTGAAAAATGCAAAGAACTAACTCAGTAGTTTCTAACTCAGAGCCTGATTGGCATCAGCAGATTCACAGATTACTTCAGGTACCAACATTCACCAGCTTGTGTCTCCAAGTTACAGGTCTCATTTTAAGTTTCCAATACCTGCAAACTTGAGAAAACTGCCTCTGTGAGGTTTTGGCTGTGAGGTTGATGAGGTATTGGATTTACAATGAACTCAGGTTAAAAATAATGCAGGACCTTAAGAAAACGCTGACAAAACCGGAAGCAAACACTAGTTAACATCCAGAGTTCATCTCTCATAAAAAAACAGTGAAACTACACTTAGAACTCCCTGAATGCTTCTACCTAGAAGTGTAATAATTTGGCCCATCTTTGTAAAAGATGAGTTCATCCTTTGCAAGCTTTTCGTTTACATACATTATAGTAAAAAACATAAAAATTGTGTTTGCAGTTCTTTGCCAACTTCTGAATCTAGGAAAGAATGTTTCCTCCTTTCATTACATTTCTTATCTTGTTAATGTATTTAAAGTTCATATTTCTTTACAATCCTAAAATGCTGATTTATCCCTTTATTATTTGATCCTCTGTTTCATTCCAATCACTAGGCTATTATGCAGGCTTTATTCTCAAAATTTCCCCAAATATTATGAAGCAGTGGCACTTTGTTAAATTGTTCCAGAAGCCTGAAATACAGAATTGCTTTTAAAACATGATTTGCTTTTGTTTTCAAAAACAGGTGTGACATAACTGCTATTTATCACACAGAGTGATGTCATTGTATTAACATGGGCAGTGGCTGTCTCTTGGACATGTATGCGCTCAGTGGTCTTGCATTTAAAGCATAAAAAAATACAGTTAAAATATTTTTAAAATTAAAAATATGAATTATAACCATTTTCATGGAAATTCTGGTTTGTTTTTAATGCTGCACTGCCAATAGATTTGTCACTGGAAGCAAAAAAAAAAGTTTGGTATCATTATCTCAGCATATTCAGGATTTTAAACTGACCAGCTTACAGAATTGATTTTAAAATATTCAACTTAGGGAAGTAGGGAGGAGATGCCTGGGAAAAAAACCATCAGTTCTATCTGCAGAGTGGAATTGATTATATGTTCTGGATGGCTTATGCTCTAGGACTATAAAAAATTGCAGGTGACTTTGGTTACTAGAGGAGCTATTAGTCAGCCTGAATTATTGACATATTTTTGTGCAGTGTAGCTGCAAATATCTCCCTCAGTTTTCTTTTTCACTCTCAGAATGTAAACATTCAGAGCTATCATGGAAAGGAAGGTCAAAAGGTGTAACACAGGAACAAGCTATTCCAGAACCTAAGATTCCATCAAAACTAAACTTTTATTCTACAGCCAGTACACAGGAAGAAGTTTACATCTTCTCTTCCTTTAGCTGGTCTTAAGATCACTTCATATCAAGATATAAGATATATCAAAATAAAAAAATATGTCCAAAGACTGTACCAAAGTGTCCAGAGAAGGTGTTGCTTCACCTTCATTTTACCCTTCATTTGATGCTCAAACACCACAGACCAAAAGGATTCACTGAGCAACAGGGAACTATGAAAATGAAAACTATGAAACTATGAAAATTTTTCTTTATTTATCTTTCCCATCATACTAACATCCAGTCCCTTAGGACAGGACTACACTCTTTTCACAAGATGCCATTCCCTTCCAATACTCTGAATCAACCATGCCAGTCAAACAAGTGATCATTAATTATTTGGCTATACTCTTACTATTCAGTGTGAAGTCCCATGTCTTGTTTACCATGCACTGTTCCAAGCCCGATTTGAACAATGAATTATTCATTTGTTTGTGGGTAATCCTACAGTGCTCATCACAACATCTGAATGCATTACAAACATTAAGTGATTCATTTTCACATCATCTTTGTGTGATGATATGAATGATATCATTGTATGCACATTACAGAAGCGGGGGCATGACACAGGGATAGTAAAGCATCTGTTAATTCCAAGTACACAAATGGAGGTTTGCAGGGGCAAGTTTCTTCAAAATACTTACATTTGTCACACCATTCTAGACAGCTTCATCAGTACGTGTGGATAATAACCAGAGGTGGTCTCAGAGCAGGCCTTTAAAAAATGAGGAGAACAATCAGAATTCCCTTAGCACATGAAAGCATTTTGGTTCTAAACTATACTGTACATTAGATGTGATGAATAAAAAATGCAGACAGTGGAAGGAAAGAAATTCTTAGAAGAAGCTGCTACACTGCAGAGGTATAAAAGAAGGTAAACAGCAAAAACTCAGATACAACAGTGCACAATAAGAATTTGCACTGTGTTGTTTTTTCAGAGATCATCATATTTCAGAGAATATCTATTTTTCATTAGACATAGGGGAAACTGAGTGATGAAGCATGAAGAAAAGGCTGAGGTGCTTAATGCCTTCTTTTGCTGTCTTTACAGTCAGGCCAGTTGATCTCGGGCTGCCCAGCCCCCTGACCTTGAAGACAAGGAGCAGAATGAAGCCCAGTGACCCAGGGGAAATGGTCAGTGTTCTGCTATGCCATTTAGACACATGAGCTCATGGAGGCAGATGGAATCCACCCAAGGGTGTTGAAGGAGCTGGTAGAGGTTCTCACTGAGCCATTTTCCATCATTTACCAGCAGTCCTTGCTAACTGGGGAATTCCCATCGACTGGACATTAACAAATGTGATGCCCATCTACAAGAAGAGCTAGAGAAGGATCTGGAGAACTACGGGTCTGTCAGCCTAACCTTGATAGTAGGGAAGGTCATGGAAGATCGGTTTGAGTGTCAACATGCAACATGTACAGGATAGCCAAGGGATCAGGCTCAGCCAGCATGGGTGTATGAAAGGCAGGTCCTCCTCAGCCAAACTTCTCTGACTGGGTGACCTTCTTGGTGGATGAGGGAAAGCCTGTGGATGTTGTCTACCTGGAAGTGAGCAATGCCTTTGACACTGTTTCCCATGGCATTCTTTTGGAGAAACTGGATGCTAATGGATTGGATGTGGGCACTGTTCACTGAGTCAAACACTGGCTGGATATCCAGGCCCAGTGAGTGGTGGTGACAGGCCAGTCCTGTTTAGCGTCTTTACTGAGGACCTGGACAAGGGGACTGAGACCACCCTCAGTCAGTTTGCAGGCAACACCAAACTGACTGGGTGTGAGTCTTGATCTGGGGCAGGGTAGGAAGTCTCTGCAGAAGGATCTGGACAGGCTGGACTCATGGGCTCAGGACAATTGTATGAGGTCAAACAAGGCGAAGCTCAGAGTCCTGCACTTGTGTCACAACAAGCCCAGGCAGTGCAACGGGCTGGGAGCAGTGGCTAGAAAGTGAAAAGAACCCAGACATGTTGGTTGACAGTGGCTGAACATGAGCCAGTCTGTACTCAGGTGGCCAAGAAGACCAATGGCTTCCTGGCCTGTGTCAGGAACAGTGTGGGCAGCAGGAGCAGGGCAGTGATTGTCCCCCTGTACTCAGCACTGGTGAGACCACACCTCGAGTGCTGTGTTCAGTTTTGGGCCCCTCACCACATGGAAGACTTTGAGGGGCTGGAGCAGGTCCAGAGAAAGGCAGTGGAGCTGGGAAAGGGTCTGGGGCACAAGTCTGATAAGGAGCAGCTGAGGGAGCTGGGGGTGTTTATCCTGGAGGAAAGGAGGATCAGGGGATCCTCTGTTGTTCACTACAACTGCCTGAAAAAGGAGGGTTTAGGGAGGTAGTTTGTTTCTTCTCCCAGGGGAGAAGGACTCACTGCACAGCCAGGAGCACACCAAGACTGCCATCAGAGATTAAAAACAGCTTGGGACTGTGTGTTTAAACAATAGGGACCATCTTTAATCTTTCCCTGTTGGATGTAATTCACTCAAACACATCTGACCTCATTTAAATATAATTAAAAATCTCTACATGCTAGCTGTAGGTATAGTTTCTATTATGACAACTTTTTCCACAGTTTAATCCTTTTCCCAGTGTCTAAACCTCACAAAATCGTACATCCAGACCATCTGCCATTTTACTTAGCATCCCAACAAATGACTATCCTTACACAGGGTTTACCTTTCTACAAGTGAAAACAGTCCCAAATGGTGTTAAACTTTCCTAAGTGACAGACCTGAAGACAAAGCTGCTACAGCGGAAAAAATCCTTTCACAATTACTGTACTACAAAAATAAAGGGGTTTGTGCTTCAGTTCCAATAGCCGTGGTGTTTCGATGAGAAATACAGCTGGATATGCAGGGCAGCACATATTTTGTGTTCAGGAGCTGTAACACAGCCCAACAGGCTAGTTATAGACCAACATCTATTTTTCTGAAGTGACCCAAAACCTGTTCTCAGTTCTGCAAAAGGTCTCTTACAGACTGTGAACATGTTATTGGAAGACGTCTTACTCCATGCCTTCAGAAATCTGATTTAATTACTCTAATCCAATTCGAATTATAGAGGAAGGGCAAGCAGATTTTTCCTATACACGCTTGCACTGTCCTTCATTCCTCGATGCCATTTTTTTTTCATGGTTTTCCAGACAACCCAGGAAAACTCCCTCATAATTCAGTAATCCAAATTAATTAGCTGCAAACCCAAATGATTCCTCTAGTCTTTGCAGAAGTCCCCATTCATCATTCAGGAAAACGGGGATCAACACTAAAAGTGGTGGTGCTACCACAGCAGAATCAGGCTACTTTGGGTTTCTGGCTCCCTGTGAAAGACTTCTGAAATCACCTGGAATGTCTACCATATAGCTGACAGTATCACTGTCACACACCAGATATCAGTGCCAGATGTACAAGTCTGAATCCAGGTCTAGTGGGAGAGTTTTATCACCTGAGGGAAGGCAGAATGTCGAGGAGAAAAGGTTGTAAGGAATTCAGCAGGGAGCCATGTAAGTCAGTCTCCTGGCACTTATGTGTTATCACTTGCTTGGTTCCAATGCTTCAATTTCTGTCAGTCACTGGTTTTAAAGAGGCTGAGTTTAAAATGTTAACCACTGCTGAAGTCACAGGCCAACCATCAGACCACACTGACACCAAACCTGCTGGATGGGAGACAGCGTGGAAGAACTATGCCCACATGGCCATCTCTGCTCAGGACTTGAGCTAATGCCCAACTCCTACTAACTCATGTCACTCATGGTAGCTGTGTCTTCATATAAAATTTTCTACCCATTTATTTTGGTCTCATTACATATTACACGAAACTAAAAGACACTTTGGCTTAAGTAGATCAAAAAAGTAAAATTTGCTTTGGGAAATAAACTTATCTCAAAAATCCAGCTCATCCCAATTTTAATATAACACACACTCCTAACCCCTCTACAGGCTTGTTAGAAGACTGCAGGGATTTTTCAAACACCATTTCCTTCTTATGTCTGTTTCAGAAGCAAAGTTGACATGTGTTACCAGTGAGCAAGCCCAGGAAGAAATCAGATGTGAGCACTTCCTACTCAGAAGAATGATGAAGCTAAAGCAGAAAACATGAATTGAGGGCTTTATGATAAGACTGAGATCCCAAAGACTAAAGCCTGTGCTTAAGCTTGCGACAGAAGAGAAAGGTGAAGTAGTTCAAGACTCAAGAGTGTAAGCTGGTTTAAACAAAGTCAACAGTCACTAATTTTAACTGGAACAAAAAAGGGCAAATACCAGTTGCACTGTAGCTGTCTATGAAACACCGATTATTTTAGTACATTCAGACAAAAAATCTGCAGCACAGGCATTTGATAGTTATAAATCATGTAAAAAATATTTGTATTTGTGCTGAAATCTGAATTTGCTGTTACTTTACGCTTACCACAATATTTGTAAACAAAAGAATTTCTTAAAAATTCAAACACCTGCTAATTCATAATTGTGTAAATAGTTTCTCTATCTACTGGTATTCAGTAATAAAAAAACCACATTTTCTAATGCAGTCCTACTCTGACAATAACATTCACCTCACTTAAAACTCCTATATTACATATATATTTTTTTTTCCCTTCAATACATTGTTTAGATTATGGTTTAAGTTACACCATCATAAAACACAAATTAGCTTCTGTTTGGGGGCATAACTAGAGGAGGCAGGAATAAAAAAGGATCATTTCTTTGTATCTACTTAATTTAAAAACCCATATTTGAAAAAAACCAACAACATTATTAAAAAGTAATATTGGGCTATTAATTTGAAAAACAAATGCTGTAGGCAGTTAAAATATTGTAAGTAATACCACATTATTTTAATAAACTACTTGGGAAACACTTACATAATATTAGGTTAATACACAAACCTTAAGTGCTGCTGAGTTTGAATACAGTAATTTTGCAACTGTGCTTTAACACGGAGCCCAAGTCCCAAGGCTGTGACAGATTGAGCACTACAGAAACTTTACTCTGTCCCTCATCAGCTGCTAGAAGATCACTCTAATGGCTCCCTCAGGCTGGGTTCAAGGAGCAACTGCAACACTATAGGAACGGCTGCAAAATTTGATTCCTTCTTTTGTAGCCTACTTCCCTCGGGCCAAACTGCAGAGCTTTCACATAAAGGGGTGACAGGAATAAAAAGGAGATTTTTGTCTGTCTTATACACAACAAATAAAATGGATTTCAAGTCTCACAAAAGAGAAAAGCACCTTCTTGTCCCGTTACGGGTTGCAAGGCTGTGGCCCCACTGAGTAAGCCCCCGAAGGAAGAAGCTTTTGGCTGTAAGTGTAGTACCACTGCTAATCTATGAACATTCAAACCACACCAACAGAACAGGAATGAGAATGGACTAAAAATCTTGATTCTTAATAGAATTTTTAACACACTTTTAAAAAGATGTTTATGCATTTTCTCTATATTCTCTCTTCTGAAGTTTTATAATAAAATTCAGTCTTACTGTCGATTTTTTTTTCACCTCTCTCCCTAAAACTGGAAGTCCTTGAAAGAAACTTTGCTTTTTATAACAAGGAGCAGCAAAGCTTCACAGAATTGCTCCTCTCCAGGTGCAAAGATCACAAATATCAATCAATATCTAGAGGCTGCAGTCCTAGACTGAGGCTGGATTAAGTGCTTTGCAAAATACTTACTTCATATTTAAAACAATTTTTTGTTTTTTTACAGCCAGCCAGTGACTGATTGGAAAAATACTGGAAATGTGCCAGGTGCTCTACTCAAAACATCTTGAAACAAACTGCACTACTGTCTATATTTGGAAACCGTAAAAACTTGCAAAACTAAAACCATATACTTGTAAATATATATGATCAGCCTTCATGGTTTTCAAAGGAAGCAAGTACAGATAAACTACAAGGATAACATATGGCTGGATATGAATGTGGTTTACATCTGTTACTGGTTAATTAGCTCAAACTTTACCCACAGTGGAGTTTTGAAGATGCAGGGACACGTGTTAAATGCATGAGACATATTTTGGAATGCTGAACAGTCCTAAAAGTCCCAAAATCCAACTGGTAAGTCTTTCAGCCTTGCAGACACACCTTGCTTGGTTGGAACACTTCTTAGTGGGTTAGGCATGAAGAACCCCGTCAGGGAAGCTGGATCCTTATTCCAGTTCCCATCCATTTACTCTTGTCTCAAGTCAGTCACCCACATGTAGTCTCAGTCCTGTCACAGGGAAAGGACACTTGATGACACAGACTTGCTCAAGTAATGCACATAAACAAAGCCAGGAGACAACGTATCTCTGTGCTTTTTTGTTTTAGGTTTTATTTGCACTCAGTAGTCGCAATGAGCTTCACGTACACACCTTCCAAAAACAGCAAGCAGAATTTTCCCATAGTCTCCCCACTCTGCAGTTTAACACAAAGTACAGTTTTCTTTTTTTAAAGAAATTAGTCCTTCTACTTTGCTATCATCATGAATGTGAAAACAGCAAAACTGTGTTAAAGCAAACTATTGAAATGGTTGTAACAGCTATTTTTTAACTTAGCTAAGAAGTTAAAGCTAGCATTAATACATATTCAGCAGAGAACATGCTGGCTACCTGGTCACAATATGAACCTGTGAAGGGACTCTTATATGACAATAACTTTCCATCTTCAGAACCTGATTTTCCAGTTTTTACATATGTAAAATAATAGCTATAAAATGGCACTAAGAAAGAAAAATACGTAGTATCATGATCACCTGGCATCTCCTTACATCTCATTCATAGATATCTAAACTTTCAAACAAAAAAGGAAAGGTTTGATTGTAAAAGATGTGTCATAGAAATAACCAACTTTTTTTTTTTTTAATTATCTTGGAATTTTTCAGAGGTGCTAATTTTGATGCAAGCTCTTTAAGAAAATCTTCTATCAGTCAGCTGGTAGTGATTGCTGCTGAAAAAACAAATGGGAAAGAGAAGTTCCCAATACTTGGATCAGCATTCTGAGAGCTAACTATAGGACACTACAATTTATTGATCTCTTTTTACTACAATACCACATCTGCATTTCAGAATTGTATCAAGGAGTAATTGTAGGGGGTTTCAGAAAAAAAAAAAAAACAACCAAAAAAAAAAAGTACTCCAAAATCTAATGACAAAAATAGTCAGTCAAGAATGATTCTATTGCCTGTTCTTCTATATACTCAATATAAGCATTTTGGAAAGATATTTTAGTGCTGTTTCTTTTCTTTTTTTTTTTTTTAAGGCTCACTGTTTTAGATTAGCTATTCATATTGACATCAACACTAACCCATTTTAAAGAAGGAAGCTACTTTCCTCCCACAGCTTTTTCTCCTGAAGTCAGCTCATTGAGTTATGAAATCCTGTTAAAGAGGTCATTTAAACAAGACATAAATCAATAGAACAAAGGTCAGCTTTCCTGCACAGGTGTAATTTCTATTTATTTTGAGTGCAAACCCCAACAATCACAAGTTCAGAAAATTTATACTGCAACCCAGTTCTCATAGCCCATTGTCAGCTGATAGCTCTCTGTTAAGCAGATCAAAACCCCCATCAGATCCTGACAGTTCTACAGGACTCCTGGCAAGATTTACCAGCAATAAGACACCACCAGGCCTCGCAGTCTTGTGTTCCTCAGCACAAGCTGATGTGAACATCTTTGTTCTATACCCCAGTGATACTCTCTGAGCCCCACGAGGTCAGATAATTCTGAGCACTCTGGTCCCTAAGAGATCTCCAGACACACCTGCATCACCTAGAAAAGGAAATATTTGAGTGCAGATGGAAACATCCATGTACCTAACCTAGCCAGAACAAAGACATGGTGCCCCTCACTACCTTCCAACAAAGCACTCAGTAAGAGAGTGCCCTCCCAGCACACTTTATCTTGCTGTGTTCATTGATTATGAAGGCTCAGCAGTGTTAGCAGCAGGGTGTTACAGGCACAGCAGACAAATGAACGGGGGAAAACAATCCCTAACTTACATGTCTCCCAGGACTGAGCAGGTATGACAACGTACAGAGTTGCAGATGTAGCTGCTGCACTGCAATAGATATGCAGCCTGCTGAGCAAGAAGCTGGTGGCAACACAAAGTTCCAAGTCATGGCAGCCAGGCAGGTCTACCTATAAACCTCTTCACGTTTCTTCTTCCCGCTTCAGCCAAAAGCAAGCGAGATATTTTGTCCCACAGCATTCTACGCCTTTGATCTGAACTGCGATAATGTAATAGATCATTTGCACAGCTGAGTTATTTCCCTTCTCCATGCTCCCTCCCTCACAGCAAATCAAATTGTTTCAACCCTGTAACACATATCCTATCTCACTAGAAGGACACATATCTATACGGATGCAATGTTTATTCGAAATCTCAACAGGATAAAGGTGTTGCGGTAACAGAATAGTTTCCTTTCCACATAGAAAGTGAAAAGACCAACCAAGTATTCAAAAGCTTATCACAAATCTACTAAAAATTATATTAATTAAATAATAATCCTGATCACTGGTACTAGAAATTTTACCTTCATCCCAAAACAATGTATTTCTGACATTTTTTTTCTGAATCTGAATGCTACTTGCTGATGTATCATTAATATGCTCCCATCCAGTAGCACAGGAAATGAATTGTATCTGGTCTGCATGGAATTCTAAAAAATTATGCACATATTTATCAGTCTCGTCCTACATGCATAAATCTACCTTTACAATTTCTGGAAAACACTGATAAACACTGCTTAGGAGAAAAGAAATGTTCAAAGAAAGAAAAGGAATGAATTTACATGGGAATTTACTGTGTCTGCAGGTCATACAAATGAACCCAATTTTTTCCCACAATTAAATCTATGCTGTTATCAAGGCAATCAGTTTATTTTAAGACCGTCAACCCAATATATAAATTTCCTTTTGTGCTTGAAATGCCTTTATCAGATAAGATAGCTTTTGTTTAAACTGCTATTTTCAGCCTTTGCTTTGAGGGTTTTGAATATACACAGTGAAGTAACTTGAGATTTCCTACCCTGTTTTAAAATGTGTTTCTTCTGTCTGTTTGTATTTTGTAATTTCCTGTCAAATAACCTCACCATAACTAACTTTCCTTGCTCCAACCTACTACTTCTTTTTTTTTTTTTTTTTTTAAAGCCATTCCCACTTCCTGAGGATGGTAATAAAACACTGATTACATTCGGCTGTTATCTGCCTTTTCTTCCCCTGCTTCCCCCTCTCTCACCCCCTTTGTCAAAGCCAGCACTCAGGTTTCAGCTCTTCATGGACTGAGAGAGGCACATAACCAGGAGAGGAAGCAAATCAGACTGCAGGAATCCAGATTCATTAGAGTTTATTGGGTCAATCACCAGCTGGAGCAGAGCCAGACAATTAGGCTGTGCAGCCCCTGAAGTCTGGATGCATGGCTCTCCATCCAGAGCCAAGCGCGCTCCGCAGCAGGGCACACGTCGGCACAGTGCCCGGCTGGCTGCGGTGGCTGTGCAGGGGGAAAGAGGAAAGGCAAAGCAGCAGCACCTTACTGCTCCAGATCAGCTGCCACAAACTGAAGAAAAAAGTTTGTTTGGCCAATTTCTTTTTCATTAAGCATGAAGCTGCTGATATGCTGCAGTTCTCCCATTGGTTTTTGCCAACTCCTACCAAAAATCCAGTTTGTTGAAACATCGCCACACAGAGCCTATAGACTATTCAACTTCATCTGAAATTCTTTAACCTCTTCGATTTTTATTCAACTGCACACTTCTCTTTTAGCCAAGCTTAGTCCCCACTTACTGCTCTCTCTGTCATTCTGCTCCCCCTTTTCACTAACCACAGGTCAGCCCTACTATTTCAGCAGTTCTTCTTTTCCTCCTTTTCCTTGTCTGTAAACTTGTTGAAAGCACAGGCTAAAGCCACTGCACTCTCTTCCTCTCTTCCAACTCTATACTGGATCGTGTCCAGCCCAGTTTCCGCTGTTTCCCTTTGAATGAAAGTGCTTTCACCACAGTAATTCAGGATCTCTTCCTGGGCAAATCTCAAGAATCTCCTTCCTACATGGCCCTTCTGGTTCTTTTGATACTGCTGGTCATCATCCTTGCTCTGACATCTCATCCTCACTGAGATTTCAATTCAGTATCTATCTTTTCTGTCAATGATACTTCTATTTCCTGGGCAGCCCACTACATTGCTGAATGCTTCTGAAAGCTCTGCCACAGTATTCTTCCCAGTTTAACACAACTAGGGGATCCTTTGAGCCCTCACCTCTGCACTGGTGGTTCAGATTCCATTTAAAGATTGCCAAAGCAGTCTAAGATCATCTGGAAGGACTAGGAGAGGGGCATAGGCCAGGAGCCTTAGATCAGATTGAGAAGCTTATGAAACCACATTGTTAGACACACCTTTTCACCTTCCAAGACATCTCCTTTGCACTTAA